CTTCCTGCCTCACTTTGGTGGAAGGACCGATGGGAACCCTTGGGCGTGGCTCTGTTCAGCCCTCAGATGCTTCATCTGTAAAATGGGGCACTGAGAGGGTCCCACCAGAATAGGCCAGTGGCTCTCTGTCTCCCCGTGTCTGTCCTTGTCCTGCCCTCGCCACCCAGCCTGGGCTTGTTTCTCAGATCATCCATATCCCTTTTCCCTCCCCTCTCTCCTTTCGGACTAGAAATAGGAAGCTTGGGGAGGTAGGGGGAGAGAAGCTGAGTGGGTCCCGAGTATCCCACCCCAGCAGCCTCCGGCTTGTTCCCCCAGGTCTGGCCTACATCTGCGAGGGCCTGAAGGAGCAGAGGAAGGGGCTGGCCACCCTTGTTCTTTGGAATAATCAGCTGACACACACGGGCATGGCTTTCCTGGGGATGACGCTGGTGAGTTACGTGCACCAGGAAGGACCTGAGAACGTGGGGTGGCCTTAGATTTTACAAACAGAGAAGCTGTCTGAAGCCCAAGGTCTTGGAATTGGTCAGAGTCAGAAGTCTCTTGGCTCCCAAGGGGTCTTTCCATCAAACTTAGGACTGGGAAAAATGGGAAGGGAGCTGGAGAAGGGCTCAAGCAACCATGGAGGGTTTGACTTTGGACTTAACTGGCCTGTCTCCCTTTGCCGGGCACCAGCTCCCTTGTTTCCCAAGATCCCACTTTTGCAGTAAGTAAATGAGAGTTGGGAACCTTGAGGGACAGTCTAGAGGCCTGGTCTGCCCCTAGTTCAGGAACTCTTGACTGGATACTGTAATCCAGCCTGAGAGAGCCTTCGACACATGGCTGGGACATTGATTTCTAGTGTGACTTGTGTCCTGCCTCCTGCAATGTTGAGTGGGAGGTTTAGAGAGGACCTAACGAGTCCCTCATTTCAGAAAAGGAAGGCGAGGCCCAGCGGGAGGGAGCCCGGTCCTTGGACGGCTGGTGCACCCCTGGCCTGGCCTGGAGGCACCTTCAGTCCTCAAGCTTAGCCTGGGCTCCCCTTGCCCTTGTGTGTCTCCCCAATTTCTCTTGTCCTCAGCCCCATACCCAGAGCCTGGAGACTCTGAATTTGGGCCACAACCCTGTTGGAAACGAGGGTGTCCGGAATCTCAAAAATGGACTGATTGGGAACCGCAGCGTCCTGCGCCTGGGGCTGGCATCGACTAAACTGACATGCGAGGGTGAGGAGCCGCGTGGGTCTGGGGTTGAGGGGCCTTAGAGGGAAGCTGGAGAGGTCAGAGTGGAGCAGAGGCGCAGGGGCCAGGGCTGAGAAAAGAGGAGGAGCTGAGCCAGGTGTGTGGGGGAGGAGAAAAAGGAGCCTGAGCCTGGAAGTGAAGGCCTAGGCTTAGGAGGAGTCAGAGTGGACCCTTGGGCTTGGGGGGGGGGGGTTGGCGAGAGAAGCTTCTGAGCCCAGGCCCCTGAGTCCTCTACGCCACAGCCACCTCTGAAGGCAGTGTGCACACCCGTGGTCTCTTATGTCCTTTGGCCTGGCTCCGGGGCCCCTCTTTTCTCACTGGGGGCCCCGGGTGGGCTTGACCTCATCCCCAGGAGCTGTGGCAGTAGCAGAATTCATTGCTGAGAGCCCTCGCCTGCTTCGGCTGGACCTCCGGGAGAATGAGATCAAGACTGGAGGGCTGATGGCCCTGTCCTTGGCCCTCAAAGTCAACCAGTCGCTGCTGCGCCTCGACTTAGACCGGGAGCCCAAGAAGGAGGCAGTGAGTGGGGGGTTCCCAGGCATGGGCTAGGGCGGGGTGGAGGGGGGGAACTGGCGGATCCTGGGCGCATGATCCGCCCTGCAGCAGCCCTGTCTGCACCTTTGGCAGGTAAAGAGCTTCATTGAGACCCAGAAAGCCCTCCTGGCAGAGATCCAGAACGGCTGTAAGCGCAACTTTGTCCTGGCCCGAGAGGAAGAGGAGAAGGAGCAGCAGCTGCAGCTCTCGGCCTCCATGCCTGAGATCACCATCATCGAGCCTGCCCAAGAGGAGGCCGCTGTGCTGGGAGAAGCAGCAGAGGAGGCCCAGGAGAACGGGGATGTGGGTGGGGCCGGGCCTGAGGCCCAGGGGCTGGCCGAGGACTCAGATTCCGACACCGAAGAGGAGGAGGACTATGGTGGTCTAGAGATCCAGGAGACACATAGTCCTGAGGTTCAGCTTTCCGGGAACTCCCTGAGCTCCAGGGATAGGACCCCTCTGGGCAGCCCAGCCCCCTCAGCCCCAGAGGCTCTGCCTGAGAGCCCCGGTGGGCCCAGGCCAGAGGTGCCGGGCGCCGAGACACGCATCTCAGTGTCCAGCCCTGGCAGAGGACACAAAGTGTTTGTGGTGACTCGGGTAGAAAGCCCCCCCGAAAAGGCGGGCGAGGCCCCGGCCAACAGGTCAGGGGTCAGCCCTGGCCCCGGCCCTCTAGACCTGCCACTGCCCAATGGGCTGAAGCCAGAGTTTGCTCGTGCACTGCCCGATGCCCCTGCTGGCCACGGAGGACCAGAGGGCAAGGGTTCAGGCTGCGGCCTAGAGCACGGTGAGCGTGGGCCCTGGGCCGGTGGGTGACCCCAGCAATGCATCCACCCCGCGTCCCTGGGGCCCTTCCTCCTAGCTCTCGGGTGAAGACGCCCGAGTCTAGTTTGAGTCATTTGACCAAGGCAGCTCACCCAGTCAGTGGCAGAGCTGAGACTCGAACCCAGCTCTTCTGAGCAGTCTGGACACGACCCTGTGCCGTGCCGCCTCAAGCACTGGTGCCAGAATCTCAGCCCCGTCGCTCACTGCCTCGGTGACTGGACCAAATAAGCTAGAGTGGTCCCCAGCACCCCGGCTCCACGCTGCTCTTGGGAGCCCTAAAATCTGGCGTCGGGATCCGAGAGCGAGCGCGGGCTCCTCCTGTCACGTGAGGACGTGCAGGCTCACAGAGGGGAGGGCCAGGTGTGTGCAGGGCCAGGAGGAGACAGGAGCCGGGTCAGACAGCCACACGTACCTCCCATGCCTCCATGAGCAGTTCATTCAGCAGCATCAAATATTGAGAAAGGGCCTGGGGGCAGGCAGGGGCAGACCCCTGCCCTGGGAATGCTGCCAGCAGACCAGGGGCAGTGCCCAGCGGATATACCGAGGACTGGGATGGGGGGAGGGGGCAGCATTCTGCTGCTCTTGGGGTCATTCTCACAAAATACCCCTCTGCTCTTTTTCTGAACCCATAGAACTCGGCTGCTCCAAGAATGAGAGGGAGCTTGAAGAATTACTTCTGGAAGCCAGTCAGGAGTCGGGACAGGAGACACTGTGACACCTGAGGTGAGGGGGAAGGAGGTGGTCTGTGGGGTGGGGGGTGGAGGAAGTGAGATCTGACTGGCGCTTCCCTTCTCTTCTCCCCCTAGATCTTTCTCTGGTCAGGCTTCAATGATCTGAGGCCCCGCCCTGTGCCCCGGATCCAGACCGCCCTCCATTCCAGCTCTCCGGGTTGGGGGCCCGTCCTGGGCCAGTGTGGCCGCTGAGGCTGGGGGCAGCAGGTGCCTGAGGAAACACTACAGGGGACCCTTGGGAAGCAGATGAGCCCCCTTCCTTCCCTGGTCCCCCAGGTCCCTTTCTTAGCACCTCTATTTATTTCCCCCTCCCCTCTCTGAGGAAGGACCAGAGCCTGGGCTGGGCAGGCCCAGGGGCTGGAAGGAGGTGGGTTCTCTCAGGGAGGCACGAGGAGGGCGGTGATGGTGAACGGTACTGATCTGTGCTGTGACTGATGAGCATTAGAGCCGAGATGCTGGGGCGTGGGGGGTGGCAGGAAGGGGGCAGGCTGTGGAGATGGAGGGGGAGCCTCGAGGCTCAAGATCCCGAGGGAGCGCTCCACTCAAGTGCAATAAATTTATCAGGGAGCTAGGAGGCGTCCAGGTGGCCCCCTGGTGGGCGGACGGGCTCCCTTGCAGGGGCAGGGAGCCTGCTTCTTGGCATTCCGCCTGGAGATGGGCCTCAGAGAGAGGGAACGGGGTGACGGGCAGGGAGGAGACCCTCCCTGCAGCACACATCTCTGCTCAGACTTTTTCTATTAAACGCCTCCGTCGCCAGCATGGGTAGCCTGAGTCCTTTTTATGCCTTCCTGTGTTGACCCAGGGGGCTAATGAAAACATTCATCATTTATAAAGGGCAAATTTTCCATCTGCAGTAACTCAGGCCATGTCAGCAGAGAAATAAGAGGACCAGGTCAAGGAAGCAGCGTGATAGGATGGGGCTTTAAGAGGCTGAGGAGGGGGGTTGGAGAGTAGGAGGCTCAGGCCCTGCCCTTGTGGGGAGGTAGGGGGCCTGCACCCTAAAGCGCTCCCATGTGGCCAGCTCTGCCGTCCACTTGAGGGCAGCTGCTCTCTGGCAATGGGGACAGCCAGGAGGCCTGAGCTCAGATGCCGTGGAATGTCTCCACTGTAGGGCTGTTCTGGCCTCCTGAAACGCTGAAGGTCCCAGAGCATGGCTACATGGAGGCTCTAAGCTGGGCCCACACTGACATGGTGGATAGGCTCATCTTCTCTCATTGGCTGGGAAGTTTGGATGAAGTCCTTTCCTGTCTCCCCTGTCACATTTGATCCCTAAATGCCCCGCCCTTCCTGAGATGGAATAACTAACTGGTTGGGCAGGTGGCCCCAGAGCTGGGAGTGAGTGCTGAGTTTCCCCCAAACTTCCTTTGCCTCGGATGGGGCCGGCTGGGAGGCAGAGCCATAATTAGCTACCACAGCAGGGCAGCCTGGCAGGTACCAGTGTGAGCTCATGACAGATACTGGGGCGGGGCATCCTCCGGAAATGCCAGTTTACCCCAAGGACGGGATGGTCTGATGGGGCAGGAAGGGGCGGGCCCATGCACACCCTTGTGTCATCCCTTTGCCTGGGACACAACATGTGCTCCCCAGGCTTTGTCTGCCTCTTCCTTGCTCTTCTGCCCCACCACATCTCTCTCCTCATCCGTCCTTTTGGCCCAGGTCTTCCATACACAGTAGGGATGTAGCCCCTGAAACACAGTCAGACTGTGACACATCTTTATTGCACTGAAGGGGGGGGTTCCAGTTTGGTCTCCCCATGTGTGCACCCACACTCACATGCACACGTGCACACACACACTGCTGGGAGACTACCAAGGCCCGAATTAATAACACTGCTTCACTGGGAGGTGGAAAAGCGGAGCCCCGCTCCTGTGAGTGAGCCCCGATGAGGTCCAGAATCAGCCAGAGCCTGCCCCTCGTGGTGGGGGTGGTTTGCAGGACACCGGGCCTCCCGCTGCCCGGCCTCGACGCACTGTCTGGACTGCCACTGCTTTGCTTGGGTTAGCATTCAGAAATGAGGGGCGTGGGACCCTTCCCCCGAATTCAAGAGACTGCCGGGCTTGCCGGCGCGGAAGAGCCGGTCCTGCCGGGGGGAGGGCGGCTTTTCTAAATGGGAGGCAGAGCTGTGAGGGGCACTGCCCGGCGGGTTGAGGGCACGGATGCTCCGGATGAGCCCCATGCGGCGGCGGATAGAGTGGTCCAGATTGACGGTGCAGCAGAGCAGGCTCTGAGCCTCTGCCACAGTGAAAGGGAAGTCGATGCCCAGGAAGCGGGCAAAGAGCTCTGGGTCACCGTCCAGGTCCACCACATTCTGCAGGGCCTTGGTCATGGTGTGCAGCTCACGGCTGTTGTCTCGGAAGATGCCCCAGAGCGGAGCCTGCGGGTCTGGGCCGCCCTCGACCTGCTGGCGGTCTTCTAGGCACTGCAGGGCCCAGCTTAGCCGGCAGGGCCACTGGTTGGCCAGCACCACCCAGGCCACGGCCTGACGCGGTGTCGGCCGCATGGCCCCGCCCCGGGCCTGGTGCTCGTGCAGCAGCCTCACGGTGATGGGCACCGTGTTCACAATGCGGCGCATGGAAACCACGTTGTCCGGGATGTATTCATACAGGCAGTCCTGCTCGTCGTGCAGGCAGAAGAGGGCCTCCTGGATGCGCTGCCCGGCCTCCGCCTCGATGCGGCCCCGGTCCTGCCCCCCCGACACCTCCACGCGGAGCAGCTCCGTGCCCTCGGCCCCGGGGGGGCCGCCTTTCTGGCTGCCCCCCAGCTGCCGCGTGATGGCCCGGTAGAGCAGGTCGTCCCGGCTCTGTACGGCGTCTTCCAGAAAGCGCAGCTTGGTCCGCCGCCCCATGATGGGCACAGAGAACGGCAGAGTGACGGTGCGGTTGAGAAAGAGGTAGCCGTTGTCGGCCACACCCTTCATGGAGCCGGAGCTCTCGAGGCACGAGGCCAAGATGTGGGGGTCCACCACCAGGATGAAGATGAACGGGGCCTGGCTGTCCGACAGCAGCGTGTTGATGGCGTTGAGGACACCGATGACCCGCTCCGGGTAGCAGGTGTCGAGGCCGGTGACCTCGAGGACAATCCGGAGCCGCCGCCGCTGGAAGATCTCCAGGAAGCAGATGAAGTTGGTGAGCAGCTCCACTTCCTTCTTGACCTCACACATGAAGCCCAGCTGGCTCCCAAACTTTTCCCGGGTGACCAGCCTCTCGATCTTCTTCCGCTGGCTCACAAACAAGTGTTTGCCCACCGAGTACAGCGCCATGAGCAGGCCGGAGCCCGACAGGGTGGTGGCCGCGCCCCCAAACACTTTGAGCATGCTCCCGTGGCCGCCCCCCTCCCGCCCGGGCCCCCTGCCGCTGACGGAGAGGTAGAGGAGGCCCACGCCCAGGGCCAGGGCCGCGGCCAGCGCCAGGAGGATCAGGCACACCCTGCGGCGGCAGTGCCACTCGCGCCGGCAGAAGTCCGGGGACATGGCCGGCTTGTTGCCCACCACAGTGTAGAGGCTGAAGGGCAGAGCCCCGTAGTGGCTGCGGATGCCCTCACACAGGGTGGTCACCAGCCCGGCCCACAGCTTGTCCGTGCCAGCGTACTGCCAGGCGCTGAAGCGGATGAACAGGAACTGCACGTTCTTCCGACGCAGGTGGAGCTCCGTGATGACGGGCTGGTAGAAGACCAAGTACCAGAGGAGCCGCGGGAAGCCCCAGCCGTGCACCTGGCGAGGCTTCCACTGCGCCTGTTGGAGCTCCTCCGCTTCCCGCTGGGCTGCCTCCTTCTGCATGAGGGCTTGGGGAAGAGCCAAAGCAGAAGCCAGGGTCAGCCAGGCTGGTCCCCAACCCCTCCCGGAGCCTCAGGGCCCAGCTGTAAAGAAGCAGCGGCCACCTCCTCACTGCCTGAAGCCCCGGAGGCCTGGGTCCTGGGGCAACCTGCCTCGGGCCAGGCTGGTTCCCCAGGAGCTGGCTGGACTTTCAGGAGCCAGCCAGGACTTACTTATTGTCCTCTCTCCCCAAGGGCCTGAGCTCAGGTGCTCAATAAATGTTTGTTGAATGAATGGCTGGAGTTTAAGATTAGGATTTAGAATTGAGTTAGGGCTGGGTCAGGATTAGGGTGGATCAGGGACAGGGGCTGAGGATTAGAGCTGGGAGCTGGGCCAACCTGTGCATTAAGAACTGAGCTAGACCTGGCTGGTATTTGTTTTGGGGTTGTTGAGGTTTGGATTTTGACCTTGGGTTGGCGCTGGGGTGAAGACCAGACGTTGGTGAAAGTTGGGGATGGATGGTCAGGGTGAGGACTGGATTGGGGAGGACTGTTCAGTGTCTGATGTTAGGTTTGAGAGGAATGGTCCATGTGGGTTTGGGGCTGATTCAGTCAGGGTTGGGTAGCAGTTCAGCAGTGGACTGGGGCGAAGGTCAGAAGCAGCACCGGGATTAGGGCTAGCTCAGACTAACCTGCCTTGAGGTCTGAGTTAAGCTCGAAGCCAGGCCAAGACTTCAAAGCAAGCTGAGCGTTACTGCTGGATTAGGCCTAGGCCACCCTGAAGATGAGGCCTAAGGGTTAATGTTTACTGGGCAGGCTCAGTGTTTGGGGAGCAGGGGTAAGAATTAGAGGTTAGGAGCCACGGGTTAGCGTCTGAGGACTGGACCACGGCGGGGTGTCTAGGGATAGTCTCTGGCTGCCAGGGGCTGCTGAATGCACCACACTCCCCAGCTACCTGTGATTTTGTCCAGCATCATGTGCAGTCGGCAGCCAAAGGGGGCATAGAAGCCCACCGTCACAGGTGTGGGTACGTGGCACAGCGTCTTCGACAGACAGCTGCAGTAGACGTCATCCTCTGTCACTATGTCTGCAAGTGAGATAGATGGCAGGCTGTGAGGCAGGGGCTGAGGCTCTGCCCCCCTCCCCAGCCTCCCATCTTCAAACCAGTCACCTCTCGCACACACCTGCCTCCCACTGACCACAGTAAGAAAGCAACCATCTTCCCCCGGAAGCAGCCCCGTATAGGAAAATGTTGTCCAAGACTGCCAGACACCTAGGCCCCCTTTACCCCATTGCCTAGATGCAGTGAAGGAAGAGCCATTGAGCTGTGAAGCCAGTACTCCCCACAGAGCCCCCAACTCTGGTCACCTTCTTAAGGCTAATACGAACTACTAATCCCATTCCTAACCCCAAATCTTCCCTTCCTTTACTGGAAATTCTATTTCAGCTGTATCCATCATGCAAATCCTAAAGCTAACCTTGTCCCTAAACTTGTCTCTGACTTAAGCCTTAATCACATCATCCCAGCTGGAAGACACAGCAGGCTTTTTTCACCTTGAATTTGAGCATAACTTTAACTGACTGCTAGTGTAGAGTGACCAGACCTTGTCTGGAACCCTCCCTCTTACTGAAGCTGATGGTCTGGGAGGGCCAAGCATCAACATATAACCATAATACAGTGTTATATGATCAATAGGTTTGGAACATGCAAAGGGATCTTTACAGTCTTCTGGGGAAGGTCATTGCCAACAGGAAATCTGGGAATGCTTCCTAGAGAAAGTAGCATTTAAGTTGGGTTTTAAAGAATGACTGCCCCCCAGCTAGGTGGTACAGTGGATAGAGCACCAGCCTTGAAGTCAAGAGGACCTGAGTTCAAATCCGGCTTCAGACCAAACACTTGACACTTACTAGCTGTGTGACCCTGGGCAAGTCACTTAACCCCAATTGCCTTTAAAAAAAAATTAAAGAATGACTAGGAACTGGGGAGGGGGGAAGGAGACAGCATAAGCAAAGACGAAGAGGTAGCTGTAAGATGTTCATGGGCAGAGATGTCTGTTTCTACTGGAGCCAGGAGAGTGAGAAGCATGAAGTGGAGAAGGAAGGCCAGGTCATGGAGGACCTTGAAGGCTAGGCAGAGGACTTCAAACTTGTGCCCCTTGGGCAATGAGAAGAACAAGAAAAGCCTGATCTACCCATGACCCCTTCTGGCAGTGTGAAAGGATGGATTGTGGGGGGATAGCATTGGGAAGAGCTGGCAGAGAAGCTATCCCACTAAGAGCCTGGATGGGAGGCTGGTGAACTATGGAGGGGAGAACGGACAGCTAGGAAGAGACTTCCTGAGTGGAAGCAGTAGATGGCCGGAGAGTACCTAGAGCCCTGCTTCCAACTTGGTTCTGACCCTGACCCTCACCCGAACACCTCTACTCCTAACCTCGGCTATTATGGCTTACACCAGAGCCCCTGTCAAGTGTCTCAACCTTATACTGGTGTCCACCAGACCTCAAAGGCTCCTGGGACCACCTGAGGGAACAAATAGGAAATGGGAACTTCCAGAAGAGACCTCCCTTCCTGTCTCCCTGCCCTCCTACCAGGCTGGAGGCTGTGAAGAGAAGCGGGGTTGGATGGTCAGCTAAAGCATTGCAAGATAGCAGTGGGTGGGCAAGAGGCCAGGAAGTAACCCAGGTTCTGAGCCCGATCCCAGCAGCTGCATCGAAGGAGGTGACCTGTAGCCTCGGCTAAGGGGCAAGAGGAAGGACTCCAAAAGGTAAGAGCTAGCCCCAAGAAGGAACCGATGGCTTCAGGGACCAGAGTTAGCACACAGAACCCTGGAGGAGACCTAGAAAGATAAGAGCTAACTTCCCCAAAAGATGGGCAGAAGGAGGGAACATTCCCCTGTCCAAAAAGACCAATGCAAGGTTCCCAGAACGTGGGAGTCGAGGGGAAAAGGTACAGAGCCAAGAGCCCAGGGGAAGTGTTAGAGGATGAGAACTACCACTGGAGAAGGAGCTGCTGCTGCTGCAGGCTCCCAGAGCTGGGAAGGGCCGGGCAGGGCTGGGCACCCTGACTTCGGTGCTGGTGTCAGCCATCGGGGATAGGGGCAAGTCTGGATTCAAGATGCCGGCAGGATAGGAAGTAGTTCCGGCTGGTGGACAGCCTCGTGCTGTCTTGTGGCCTTTGCCCACAGGGCAGCCCCGGGCACAGTCTTCACCCAGACTATGCCGATGACGCAGGGGTGGTGGCTTTGGGGGCAGGGAGGCAGCACCCGACTGCCTAAGCCAATGGCCCCCATTCCTGGGGGCCTGGAAGGAAGGTGGCCAGGCCCGGGGATTCCCCGGGCATGACCTGCAGGCATGGTGTGCAGAGGCCATGGTCGGAGGCCGAAAAGTTGATACATCCTGGCGTCGCTGGTGACGGAATCCTAGAAAGAAGGAAGATGAGTGCGATGACCAGGCAGGGGCCGAGGACAGAGAGAGGTGGGGCACAGGGTACCCAGCCCCTTAGAGACAGAGGAGGCAAAGAGATGCTCACGGTGGGAAGGAAAGAAAAGCCTGGGACTGGAAGGCCTGCCCCCATTGTGACCGTGGCTGCATTCCCTCCCTTTTAGGGCTCAGTCCCTCGACTGCCCTCTGCAAAATGAGAAGGCTGAACCAGATGGTCTGAGGTCCTTTCCAGCCACAGCAGGTCACGGTGATTGGAGGACGGAAGGAAGGAGGGAGAGTTGCCTTGGGAGCTGATTTCTGTTGAGATGATCGGGGGAAGGGCCGAGTGGAGAAACAACAGTAGAGGACAGTGCTGCTGAGACGGGAGCCTGAGCTTGGGAAGAGGCGGGCAGTCCTCCTTCTGGAGGGCTGCCTGGCCATCGAAGCCCACTAGCGGGGCATCCTTCCCCATTCTTTGGCCCTCATCTCCGCCCCGGAGGAGGCACCGTGTAAGGGAAGGGAAGAAGGACTAAAGGAAGGAGTTCTGGGGGCTGCAGGGCACGCTCGATGCGGCCCCCACAAAGAAGGCCCGAGAGAAAGGCGGGGGTGATGAAGAGGGGCAGCTGCCACCCCACTCTCACTCCAGCGGGGGAAATGGGGCCGGAGGGATGGAGGCCTCACCAATGGGAGGTAAAGGGCCCCCCAGAGCGCCTTCACCCTCCCTCTCCTTTTGCTGTTTGGTCACATTCCCCTTTCTTCCCCCACTTCTTCCTGCTGTTTGCTGTTCCTCGTTCCCATCTCCTCCTCCCACTGGAGGCCCCCAGAAGGTGGTGTGCCAGCACCATCATCATTGGCTGGTTGCTCCCCTTCCCCATCTGGAGGGCTCCTTACCCCCCACCCCACACCCCTCAGCATCTCAAACTGCAGCCTTGAAAAGCAAATGCCCCAGTTAAGACGGTTCTAGCGCCCTTTGCTTCCATCCTTCCCTTCCAGGAAGGTTTCCAAAGCTAACAACGATGCCTCACCCACCCAGGCTAATCTCCCTCATTTCCCCCTCACCCCAAACTCGAAGTTCAGGCCAACCAGTCTGTCTCCCACTCAGACTAGGTGCTCCCTAAAGGAAGGATCAAGCTAGGTGGTCAGGGGCCCAGAGGAGGACACCCTCTACCTTTCCCCTGATAGCTCTCAGGGTCAACAAAGCGATCCAGCCGGAAGCGAGCCTGGCCCATGGAGGGCATTGTCCCGACGGTGCCCAGAGCAGCATAGGGCTTGGCCATAGGAAAGCTGAGTGCCCTGTCTGGTCAGCCACCTCCTGCTGGAAATAAGAGACAGGGCAGAGGCTCAAGACTTGGAATTGGGCAAGGCAGGATGTGATCCCCCTCCAAAGATTCTGAGGGGGCTGGAAAGGGCAATAGGGAGCTCTCCCCCTAAGGATATCAATTTGGAATCAAGACACCCGAGTTCTGTTCTTGACTGTGCAGCTGACTGTTTGACATTGGACATTTCCCCCCTGAGCCTCAGTTTCTTTGTCTGTAAAGTGAGCAAAGTATTTGTACTACTGACCTGAGAAGAACAAAGTATTCGGTTACTGCCCCACTCACAACCCTGTCCAACTTTCTCAAAGTTGGGGGAGATATGTCTCCTAGGGTGTTATCTCCCACTGAAAAGTATTAAGGATGAATAAGGTTAGGGAGGAGAGGGTTTACCAGCTAAGTGATGGGAAGAACGAAGAAGGTCTGTTGCGGCTTGGGGAGCTGAGTATATTTAGGGCTGACTAAAGTTCTCAGAAGTAAGTGATGGGATACTGGGTAAGTTTGAGGAGTAGATAATAGCTGAGGGGATAGGTTAGGTTGGAGGAAAGAAAGGTGAGATCTTGGGGGAACGGTAAATTTGGAGGAACAGATGGAGTTTGTGGGGTGCTAAGGGAACAGGTGGGTAAAGTTTGGGGAGCCTGGCCCCTCATCCCCTCCTCCATCCCTCTTCCTTTCTGCCCCCCTCCATTCTCCCATACCCCTGCCCCATACCTGGTGGGGAGGCAGCTTCAGCAGGGACCTCAATACCCTCCTAGTGCTAGCCGCATCCTGGGCCCCACTGGACTGAGTGTCTAGGCCCAGAGAAGCCCTAAAAAAACCCAACCCAACCGGTCTTCCCACCTCCACCTCCGCCCTCACCAACTATAGGGATGTTCTCTTTGCCACCCCTGCCCCAAGCCAAGTAGTACTGGGCACACCCACCCACTCACCCCCTGACCAGCTTCCTTGGTTCATTCCTTCAGGAAACCCATGAGCAATAGAACTAGGGACCCAGGACTGGGTGATGGGCACAGGGATGGGAAAAGAGATGAGGGGAAGAGAAAGGAGGGAGGGAGGCAGAGATACTTAAGGGCTCCTTAGCAACCATCTGGTCTAATCTCATTTTACAGAGGGAGAAGACTGAAGGCCAGGGGGAGGATGAAGTTGCCCAAGGAAACCCAAGGTGCTCGAGGGGCAGGTCAGACCCACAGCAGATTGCCAGCCACTGGACAGGGCTGGTCCTGGGTTCCAGCCCAGCTCCGTCACAGTCAATGCAAGTGTAACTTTGGGTCATTTCAGCTCTGAGCCCATTTGCGTATCTGGGCACATCAGAATGGCAGGATTGTGGGGCTTTCTAGATGAGAGCCATCCCAGGGCCGGGCCTCTCTGCCCCCTACCAAGGCAAGGAGGCCAGAGCCATCCGGGCCCAGCTGTGGTTGGCCCCCATCCCCCAGCTTCTTTCTGCTCGAGCCCTCCATTCCTGTTGGGTAGCTCTAGTTGGTAGGAGCCCTCGTCCCCACTCACATTGAGCAGAAATCAGATTTTCTGAGACCGGCTGCTCCTCATTCTGCCTCTTTTAACGCTGGCCCTCCCAAAGTTTAAAAGTCTCTCTCCTTCTAGTTGTGTTCAGGTAACCATTTAGCTTCAGCTCACCCTCCATGGCTCGCTGTCCACTCCTCTCTTTTCTATGCCTTTACCCACGTGCACTCCAGCCTGTCCCTTCTCCTTCTCCTCTGCCCCAGCACGGCACCCTTCCTGCCTCCCTGCCTACCTCAGATGTAGAGGCAAGGGGCCAGGGTTATCAGCTGCCCTGCCTGCTGCCGGCCCTCCAGGGCTGGGCCTCTGACCAGTCTCCCTGCTCTTCCCTCCCCCCACACACACTTCAGCTGAACTGGGTGATGGACATGCTCTGGACAGCTGCTGGTCAGATAGGAAACACAGAGGGCATAGGTGCAACAGAGAAGAAGAGGGAGGGGGCAGGGATTCTATCTCGCCTTCCTAGGTGAGCTAGAGTGGGGAAAAAGGGAAGGGAACCATTTGTAAGGAGTGTGTGAAACATGCTGGATTAGCCCGGGGCTTCGAAGGCCAGACAAGTAAGCCAGTGGTCCTCACAGCCCCCTCTGATCCCACCAACCCTTCCTGCCTAGGAGCTCCATAAGCACTTAATAAATGCTCATTCATTCATTTGTGATTTAGCATGATTAATGAGATGAAAGCCCTAATTCCTACCCTGGCATTTAGGAGTCCCCACAATCCAACTTTCTTCTATTCCCGATCTTCTCTCCTGAGCCCCCCTCGATAAGGCTTGGGATAAGTCAAATGCTGACTCACCGTTCCTTGAATTCTGTCCGCCCTCACCACCCACCTTAGCAGGATTTCCCAATGTCTACTTCCACCTGGCTTTAACAGTCACCTCCTTCAGGAAGACTTCCCTGATTCACTCTTCCCCCCACTCCTACCTCCTTTGTTCCTCCCCAGCAAGGCTAGCTAAGCGATACCAGTCTTATCAGCACAGCTGAGCTGCAGCCAAGGTTCTCCCTCTCACCTCCTACCCCAAGAAGCTTAGTCACAGTAGGTGACGGAGAGGAGCCAGGTGAGAGACGCGTGGCTGCGCTGGGGGTGGCCAGGTTGTGTGACCACAGTCCATCAGAGGATCCCCGCTTCTGAGCTAGGAGAGACCTCCGGGGTCATCCAACGTCCTCATTTTAGATGAGGAGTGACCCTGCGGGGTCACACACCTGCTCCACTCCACCTGAACCTGGCCTCTTTGGCAGAACGGGGAGGAGAGCCCTTAGTTTCCCACCCAACCCTCCCCGGATGCCCCCATCTCGCTCCTGGGAACCTCCTCGTTCTGCACGCCCTCAGGCCTTGGCGCTCCCATCTCAGGCAGGGCGGGGTGAAGGCCCCTCCCAGATCCCCCACGGGAAGCCGCCCCCAGCAATGGCCCAGGTGCCGGGCACCCTTCCTCCTAGCGTGCCTTGTGTTCCCCTCACTAGACTGTAAGCTCTCTTTTCAAATCTGCACCCTCCACCTCTCGCCTCCCTTAGCACAGTGGCTATCAGAGATAGAGCGGTTCATAAATGCTTGTGTGACTGGGACCTGGACCAGACTGGATCAGACCTTTTCTTAAGTTACTCAAGGCACTGAGATATTAAGGGACTTGTCCAGGGTCTCACAGCCCTCATGTTATCAAAGGTGGGACTTGAACCCAGGTCTTCCTGACTCTGAGATCAACCATCTAAGTGCCATTGCCTCTCATAACTAATTTTTAAAAATTCCTCCTTACCCTTCAGGGGCTGAACTTGGTCTGGGGGTTTGTCTCCCTGACCACCTGTAAAGCATGGTGAGGTCTTACTCCAGACTTTTGCTAGGCTCACGTATAGCTCCACTACCTACAGTGACAGTGAGGTACTGAGAACACAGCCAGGCCCCCATTGGCCTCCGGGACGCCTTCCCCTTCTCCCACCTTGCCAAGGGACCCCTCTGAGCAGACTGCCTCAGAAAACAAGCTTCACCTTCGCCGGCCTGCGTGCCAGGCGATGGGAGGAAAGTCCGAAGAACAGAACATCCCTACGTGTAAGGCACGTCCATCCTCAAGGCCAGAGGCCCGCTGTCCCGTAAGCCCTCCCCCTGCCTAGAGCGCCATGCCCTGAGATCACCCCAGTCACGTGACCATGGGCATGTCCCCTTTCTATCTCTGAGCCAGTTTCCTCCTTTGTAAATAAAGGGTTTTGACCCCTTTCTACTCTAAATTCTGTTAAGATGGACTCCGTAAACTCCAACCACAATCACAAACCCCAACGGTGACTCTTGGGCAAATGACCGAACCTCTCTGGCCTCTGGTTTCCTCCTCTCTAAAGGAGATGGCCAGGCCAGACTAGAGGCCTCTGGGGAGGCGGCATGCTGGGCACTTGGGACCAGAACACCAAAGTCTGGCTGGCCCTCTGAACCAGCTTGGCATCCTACAACCTGACCCGGGATGGGGGAATCGGGAGACCCAAGTTCCCACCCCAGACCCTGAGACGTACTGGTTTTGACCTTCTGCAAACCATTCCCCTAAGCCGATTTCCTCACTGACTAAATGCAGGTACAGTCTCCATTTACCCCTCAAGAGTGTCATAAGAATCCAAGCCCTCTAGAAACCTCTTCCAGCCAGGAAGATGCCCACCCCCAAAAAAGCCTAGAGGGCCCTCCCTCCCTGTGGGTTCAGACTGAACAGGCAGGCGGAAGCAGCAGGCTGGCAGCATGTGCTGTGGGGCTGGGCGGCCCTAATTGCACTCTGAGCGCACACCTGCAATCCTCTATCGTGTCTGTGGGTGTGCGCCTGGTCTTGTGTATGTCTGTGGTGTGTTTTTGGGGATCAGGGCACTGCTCACACCCACGAGAGCCTTCCCCAGCTCAGCCTCCACCTCTCCCTTCTTAGCTCTTTGGTGTCTGCCCATTATTTGGGCTCAGCAGGCAGAGGGAGGGGACCGAAGGGGGTGGGGAGAGAAAGAGGCGTAAGTGAGGCTCAGGCTTTATTGGAGAATACCTCAGAACTCTGCAATGGCTCCAAGCTTCCCAGAGGGCCCCTCAGACTCTGGGGCTGACCGAGCCTCCCTGAGCCCTGGATCCTTCCGGCTCCTGACCCTGGTTGTCACCCAGGCTCCTCCATGACTCCAGAACCACTAAACCCTCTTACGACCCCATGGTTCCACCAAATGTCCACAGCCCCGAACGGTTCCCTGGATTCCCAACCCTGGTTGGGTCACCTGCTGGGGTCACCACTCTGGGAGCACAGGATTAGTTCTGGGGTCCCATCTCAGGAAAGGCATGGAGAGAAGGGGGCCTGTCCAGAAGATGGGGGCCAGGATAGTCAGAGGGCTGCAGACCATGCCGAGGCACAATGAGGAAAGGCCTGGAGGAAAGAACGTGCTGGGAGGTCAGGGCTCTTCCCACTGCTCGGCCTTAAAGCACTGGAAGGGCTGTCATGGGGGAGGGGTCCCAGGTTCGTCCCACTTGGTCCCTGGGGGCACAAGAAGCAGGGCTGCTCAGGGAGGGAGATCTACAGCCTTCCTAAAAATCAGACCTGTCCATAGAGAGACTGGGCCGCTTCAGGAGGCAGCAAGGTCTTGGCCTCTTGGTCAAGGACCACGCAGAAGAGTGGTCCTCAAAGCTTAAACCCCCCAGCAGCAGAAATCCATTGTTTTGGCTTCAACATCTCCGCAGTCCTTTCCCTCCAGGAGCCTTCGTTTTCTCATCTGTATAATGGGGTAATTGTTGCCTAAAATCCCTGGGATGGCTGTGAATCCATGTAAAGCACTCTGTAATTTTCCATAAGGAACAAAGCAGTTACCCCAGAAAGCAGGGTCTCCCAGCTAACCCTAATGCCCACTCTCTGGGCCCTGGGCCGGGATCTAGAACCTGCCTCAGCAGATGGGGAAGGGCCAATACTTGGGCCTGGGGTCTTTCAAGCCTTCTGAATCACCACCTGGAACTTACCTAGAACAGAGAGAGGCATCTGGTAAGGAGGGGGAGCACACAGTGTTTGTGTCTGTGGTGGGGGGAGGCAGAATGGGTAAGTCACCAGCGGCAGGTCCTAGGCCTGGGACATGGGCCATGTTCCCTCTCTGGGAACAGACAGTATGGCACGGGAGAAAGCAGAGGTCTGGGGTTCAGGTTCCTGGGCTGTTCACTCTGAGGCGACTTTGGGTGAATGACCAAACCTCTCTGGTTCTCCAGAGGAGGAGGGGCTGGACGGTGGCCTCTCATCCCTCTGACTGAATGGGCTCCCACTGTGCCAACTACACCGGGGGGCCTGGAGGCAAGGCCGCCTTGGACACAGCCTCAGGAGCCAATAGAAAAGCCAGGTTCATCCCTGGAGCCCTGCCTCCCTTCCAGGGTAGGAGACAGCCAAAGGAAGGACCTGTATGGCTGAATACCTGAGCCTGGCAGCTGGAAGGAGGGAAGGAAGCTCTGTGACCCAAGCCTCACCACAGGCCTGCTGACTCTGCCCTCCTCCCCGGCTGGCCCCTATCCCTGGACACTCACAGACAGGCAGGGAGGCCACGCTGGCTGTGACAGAGCTCTCGATGCCAAGGGCGCTGAGGGTACCCCGGAGAAGGCCACACGTGAAGGCAAGAAACTGCAGGGGAAAGATGCGGCTGTATTGACTGCCTTCTGGAAGCCCAGGAGAAAGGGAGCTGGTCCTTGAACCCAGAGCCTGAGAGATGGAGGCATGCCTGGGAGGAAGGCTAATGACCACTGAGGCTCAGAGTATGCACACGTGTGTGTGTGTGTGTGTGTGTGTGTGTGCGCTCGCAGGGGCTGGGGGAGACACCCACAGCACACCCTTCATCTCTCTTAGAGCCCAGAACGGAAGGCACGGCAGGGGGGAGAAGAGCCAATCCTTTGGTCACTGGGCCCCCGCCCCTGTCCTCCCAGTACCTTGGGGGCTTCCTCCAGATACTGCTGGCCCCAGGCCATCTGCGTCAGGAAGGGAAAGTTGTCATCCTGCAGGATGTAGGTGCCCTAGAAGGGGGCAAATGCCAGTGGGGCTGGGTCTCTGAGGCAGGTATGAGGTTCCCCTGGAGACAAAGAACCTGGCACCAAATGGGCCACTCACTCCCTGTGGGGCCTTCAGCAAGGCAGCTGCCTCACAGGCCTGAGTTTCCTCCTTTATACAATGATCAGACTCACAGAACCTTGGCACTGACAGCGACCTCAGAGGCAAGCCTGACTCCAGATCTGTTCTCCCACACCCAAATAAGGGCCTCTCTGGCAGACGGGCACCCCAAATCCTCTTGGGGGGCCCACCCTGAGCTCCCAGACCGAAAAATCTGCAGCTGCCTCCCCTGCGGGCCCTTAGATAAGGGAGGACGCTTGTCACTGCCCCCACCCCAGCGTGTGCATGTGCACACACAGACACACACACACACACACACACACACACACACACTCAACAATACAACCTTAGTTCTTTCAACCAGGCTCCAAGGGGGGCGTGGTGACCTTAAAAGCCTTCGCAGGCTCAGTGCAGGGGTGCATCAGCTCTTGGAGTGAGACAAGCCAGGCCCAAGCCCTGCCTCTGCTCCTCACGTCTTGTGTGACCTTAGACAAATGACCAGGCCCCTGTCATTTCTGGGATGCCTCCTCTCCTGGGATTCAGTCCTAAGACTGGCAGGACGTGACTGTGGCCTTCCTCCCTGTGGCCTGTTGGCCTCTGTCCACTGGCAGGTCACCATCCGTTGCCTGGCTGCCAATACAGACTGACCAGGCCGCTAAAAGCCGCAGGCCTCATGGCATCACCCGCCGTGTGGCCGAGGCTCCCTCTCAGGGCTGGTGGAATAGGCTTTTTGAACACACTTCAAAGTCTCGACATCTCTCCCTCTTCAATGGGGCCCTAATGGTCTCACCAGAGGGTGCTGCTAAGTGTCACTCCACTGGCTGTCTGGGGAAAACTGTCCATACCACCCCTTCTAAGGTTTAAACTGGAGGCAGCTAGGTGGCGCAGTGGATAGAGCACCAGCCCTGAAATCAGGAGGACCTGAGTTCAAATCTGGCCTCAGACCCAACACCTGACACTAGCTGTGTGACCCTGGGCAAGTCACTTAACCCCAATTGCCTAAAAGCAAAAAAAAAGAAAAAGGTTTAAACTGCATGATTCGCATGATTCCCATTTTCTCTGTCCCTTTCTTAAATCCAGGCAATCAGCAAAGCAGGAAATCAAGCCTGATTTGGAGCATTTTCAGATTCCCAGGGTGTGGACACTCGTGGAAAATTAACAATGGCTCCCATGAAATCCTGGGAGCTGGCTCTGGCACATGCCTGGTTCTCACCCAGCTGGGTCCTGGGGCCCTGACTCTGTCTCCCAGGGCGCTCAGGGGGCCCTCCCCTGGTCTTGCAGCAGTGGCTGGGCATGTGCTGGGGGAAGAGCAGGGGAGACCTGAATACACGACCTCATGTTGGCACACAACAAACCAGCCTGTGAGACTGAGGCAGAGGAGGGATTAGTATCCTGATTTTACAAATGAGAAACTGAGAAAGAAGGAAGGAAAGGGAAGATCTAAGTATTTATTAAGCCCCTACTGTGTGCCAGGCACTATGCTAAGCCCTTTAAGAATATCTCATCTATCTTCCCAACCACCCCAGGAGGCAGAAGCTGTTTTCATTCCCATTTTACAGATGAGGAAAGTAAGGCAGCAATTATGTGCCTTGTCCAAAGTGTTGGAGGCTCCATTTGAACTCAGGTCCTTGACTCCAGGCCCAGTTCTCTCCCCATTGCTCCGCCTCAGAATAGAAGGGACTTGCCCAAGGTCTCCATTTGAAGCCACGACTTATGACACCAAGCCCAGGGTCTTTTCCAGGATGGTATACTAAGTGCTAGGACAAGGGGAAGTGAGTGATGCGGGTCCTCCTCCTCCTCCTCCTCCGACTCCCCGGCGGGGGGGGGGTTGCTCCATCCTCACCTACCTGGTGGTTGGTCCTGAGGTTGTCAGTCTGCTTCCGGAACACTGCCCCCCACAGGTCCCTGCACAGGAACTTGATGGTGTCCAGCTCCTCTCTGAAGACCAGGGCCCCTCGGGGCAGCCTGGGAGAAACACAAGCTTCTGACTCTAGGGTGAAGAAGGCCTGGATCCAGGCCCAGCCCTGGGGAGCCAGGGAGAGGGGATCTAATGGGAAAATGCAGCACCTGACCCAAGGTCCAGGAAGGCCTGGGACTAGGGGGAGGGGAAAGGAGACTGAACACCATCAACCATTTCAGCTCCTGGTACCCTGGGGGGGGGCAATGACCACTTGGGGGGCCTCCCCCTGTAGAAGGGTCTGAGCACATGGGACAGGGAACTCCCTACCTCCAAGCCCCCTGGAGTACTCACCTCTCAGCCAGGCCCTGGCCCACACGGAAGCCCATGCCCTCAAGGACTGTCAAGCCGGTCCTCTGTCCCTAAGTGGGGGGGGGGAGAAGGGGGCTCAGCCAGGGCCATCAACTCTGGGCACCTCCCCTTCACCCCCAAAATAGGGAGAAATTACAGACGAGTGATTTTGGATCACGAATGGAAAAGGAAGCTCTCAAAGCTGCATCCCAACCCTGGAGCTGGAGAGGCGGAGACATGTTCCAGAGAGGACAAGGAGGTACCTGAGAAGCCGCCCAGACTCTCACCTCCCAGGACAGGTGACCACAACCCCCTGCCTTAGGCTCTGCTCCAGGGCCCCCAGTGTTCTACCAGAGAGCCAGGGGGGAGATCCAGGCTCCATGCTCCCCAGACACCCGATCCAATGTACAAACATGGCTGAGATCAGTGCTGAGACCTGGACTGTGGAGAAGCCAGAGAAGCTTGGAGCGCATGGGGTGGAGGGGCCCGGCCCCGTGGTGACCCCCAGCCCACCGCCTCCTCAGTCTGGCTCATCTGTGCCTATGTCTGGCTACCCCTTATCAGGGAATGCCCAAAGAGGGAAGGGGCGAGGAATGGAGGGGCAGTGGGGGGTAAGGGACTCAGGGACAGGACGTGAGGACATGCGCAGGGAAAGCAGGAGCCCAAGAGAAAGAGAAGAATGGTGAGGTAGGGGTGGAAGCAGAAGAGGTGGAGGGAAGACTGAGCCATCCATCAGCAGCATCTCTTCCATGCACAGGTGCGTTTATGTGCATGTGTGCGTAAATGTGTGTGCATGTGTGTGCCAACCCTGCATCAAACCCTGGGCGCACACAGAGAATGAACCCCTCCCTTCTCTGAAGGAGCCGCCATGAGAGGAGAGAGGAGGCGCCAGAGCGGGCTTCAGGGCCCTTTAGGCTAGATGCAGGGGCTGGCACAAGGCTGCCCAGCCGTGGCCCAGCAGGATTCAAACCCGGATGGTGGGACAGGGTCTGCCCTCCTTCCACAACGCCCCACAGCCTCCAGCACAGGGATGTTGGGAGGGATGGAAGGAGGACAGAGACCCTTCTGAGCTGCCCCAGCTAGTCCTCAGATTCTGCCCTGCTCAAATTCGCCCCCGAGAGTGTCCATTCCATGACTTTCTTTCCCCCTCCAGTCCCTTATCGTGGCCCTGCCTCCCCTTCTCCTCACACTTCCCTGGAAATTAAATTCAATCTACCTTCACTTCTCTCTCCAGGAGTGTGTCTTATTGTAGGAGCGAATTCGAACCACATTTTTCTTCCTTAATCACACAGACTCCCCCAGCGGCCGAGAATGGAACGGAAACTCCCCTTCGGCATAGAAAGCCCTTCACAGGCTGGCTCCCACCTTCTTCCAGGCTTCCCTTCATGGGCTCTGTGCTTCAGCTGATGCCTGCTCGCTGATGTGCACAGACAGTCTACCTCCTGCCTCTGCATGCATACAGGCTGTCTCCTCAAAGCCTTGAAGTCACTCTTTCCACTTCATCCTCTTGGAACCCCTAATTCCCTAAGCTCAAATGCCACCTTCTAGGACTTGTCCTCATATTGCCCAGACGGTAATGCCCCTCTCTTCCAAATCAATGTGCCTTTATTTAGTAAATGCCTGGTTTATATTTATCTGTGAAGGAGTATTCCTGATCCCCCCAGCTGCTAGTGAGTGCCTCTACCTGTCCCCCCCCCAAATTACTCTGAATTCCTCTGTGTTTTATATGAGAGGCAGCGTGGCTTAGTGGAGATAGAGCCAGCCTCAGAGCAAGACCTCGGTTCATACCTGGGACACAAGGTGTCTGGGTGACCCTGGGCTCCTCAGTGCTCCAAGTGACTCGCTGAGACTACGGCGGGTGGCAGGACAGCTGCTGACCTGCCCTGGTGGGAGCTTCCCCACAATAACAAAGTCCCTGAGCTGCTTAAACACACACGCGAGCCATTCCCTCCACAATGTGGGGGTCAGGAGCACAGCACCCCACTGCCTGGGAAAATCTGAAAAATGTTGTGGCTCTCCCTTTGTACCCGAGAAGAAGTCTGAATTATTATGGTATTAAAAGATTAAAAACATGGTGCTATCATACAACACCATACATAGATTTTATGCATTTCTGAGTTTCTAAACATTTTCTGTGTCATCTTTGGCTTCCACAAAATTTCCTGCATAATTTCTTATGCTGACCTGTGATATATTGGAATCACGATGGGGAAAGTGGCAATGTGGAGGGGATAATTGTGTACACACACAATCACACACACACCCACTCACACACACATATACACTCACACACACACAGACACACACACATTCACATACATACACTATGCTATATACGCATTTGTTGTTTGGTCCTGTCCAGCTCTTCATGACCCCATTTAGGGTTTTCTCGGCAGAGATACTGGTGTCATTTCCGTTTCCTTCTCCACCTCATTTGACAGATGAGGAAACGGAGGCAAACAGGGCGAAGTGACTTGCCCAGGGCCACACAGCTAGTGAGTGTCAGAACTCTGGTCTCCCTGACTCTGGGCCTGGCGCTCTGTGCACTATGGCGCCGCCTGGCGGCCACCTCTCTGCATGCCGTCTCCCAAGAAAATGCAAGCCCCAGGAGCGCGGGGTGTGTTCCTCTACGCATCCCTAACAGCAGGTGTTCAGGGGTCCTCATGGATGGAAGAAGACAGAGAACAGGCGTGTGCTGGGAAAGGTGAAGGGGGGAGGAACAGGGAGGAGGGTGGAGGACATGGAGGGGGAGGAGGTAGGGAAGCAGGACAAGAGGAGGGAGAAGGGGGGAGGGGCAAGGGAGAGAAGGGAAAATCGAGGGGGGGAGGGGAGAGAGGAGGAGGAAACTAGAGGGAGGGGGAGGGGAGACGGGGAGTCTGTAAGGGAGGGGGACAGAAGGCAGAGAAGACACAGGGAAGGCCTCCTGGCTTCACCTCGTCTCCCGAGCCCCGGCCCCCGCCATACGCGGCCGCCACCACCTCCGTGTGAAGCAGCTGGAACAGAGTCTCGTCCGCCATTGCCGGCGCTTCCTCCTTCAGCTGTCACTGAGCGCCCCACCCCCGAACCCTTCTGTTCCTCAGGCCCCGCCCACCTGCGCCCCATCCAGCACTTCTATTGGCTCAATATCGGGCCACGTGATTACCGCTTCTCTCTTTAATCTACGGCCCTTCCGACACTTCTATTGGCACAGGGCGATTTCCATGTGAATGGCTGCCTCCGCTTCCTCCCTCCTGGCCTAATGCTCATAGGCCGAGACGCTTTTTATGTCACCTCCATATCAGGATGTGGTCGGGGTGGGCGTGGCTAGACAGCTCCTCGATGCACCTCCATTGGTCAATTCCTTTTTCACCAACCATTCGCAGTCATTGACTGAAGCGGCTGTGATGTCACGTGATCTAGGGCCGCTCCGTCCTTGCTCACTGCCAGAGCCCGAAAAGACCGAGGCTCACGTGACTGCCCCTCCCTTCCAAATCTGGGAAGGCTACAAGTGGAGAAAAGGCACGCTCGGGAGCTCCAGACCCCGGTACCTTCCTCTCGCGGGGATGGACGGGATCCTACCCGGGACCCTTACGAACTCTCCCTTTCCTGTCTCTGGCGCTCCTTGGGGGCGGGGAGGGAGAAAGGGCGCCCCCCGCAACCGCTTCCCTCCGTAATTCCGCCCTTCCCCCTATGACTCCCACTCCCCCATTCCCGGCCCTGGAGTCTGCCCCTCTGGTGATGCCCCCTCCCCGATTGCCCCCCTCCAGGGACGCCCCCTCCCTGATTCTTCTCCTCCCTTGGAAGTCCCATACCTAATTCTCCGCTTCCATGACGCCTCCGCCGCCCCCGCCCCGATTATCCCCTTCTGTGACGCCCCCTCCCCGATTCTTCCCTCCCCACAACCACTCATCTCGATTTTCCTCCTCCCCTACCCCCATGGCGTTCCCCTCTGCCTGGTTCTCCTCCTTTTTCTTATCAACATTCTTTGATTCTCCTCTTCTTCTGACCAACCTTCCCCCAAACCACCCCCATCTCTGATTCTATCCCTTTCCCTCCCCCATGACATTTCCTTTTTCCAGTGCTTACTCCCCCAGGTTTTTCCTTCTTCCTTCTCTTCCACCACTTACCCACCACTCCTTATGGTCCCTGTTACTTAGCAATCTCCTTCCATTAAAGGCCCTATTATGGAATCCCCTCCTCAGAATGATGTAGTCCCTTCCCTGCTCCCCACCATGCCGTCTCTCTCATGGTCACATTTTGGAATAATTCGTCCACCTCCACCCAAAATCCCAAAGCTTCTCGAAGTTCTAAATCCCCCTTCCATAGCGCCCTACTGCCCCTCAGTGTCTTGTCACCCTCCGTCGAACTCCTTTCCCCTTTTGGTTCCTGGCTCTCCTGGCACCCCTCCCAGGAGGGATCCCCGCAAGCCTTCAGGGAGCGTTTTCCAACCTTACAACTTCCGCCTTGACATAATGCGCTTGTGCTTGCGGGAGTGCCTTCCGCCTCTCCCCGCTAGAGACTATCCCACGCTCCATTCATCACAGCCCCAGTCTCTGCGCTAGTGGGGTCCCTGCCCTATCTGCTTCCCTGCTTTTTCCTGAGAGATCACTCCCGCCTCCTCCTCTCCCACTGTCCCCGCCTTGGTCCCCAGAATAAAGCGCCCTGCTACCTCTCCCCCAACAGCTCCTGGGCCTGAGAAGCCATGGCGTCTCGGGCCGTCGGAGAATTGCGAGGTCGGCGACCCGAGACTGTGGTGCGTGGGGAGGCGATCGAGACGGACTCGGCGGCATCTTCGTCAGAAGAGGAGCTGTACCTGGGCTCGGCCCCGCCGTGCCGGGGCCGCCCCACTGGGCTGCGCGTAGCCGGGGAAGCACCTGAGACTGACTCTGAGGAGGAGCCCGCGACCCTGGTGGCCCACGCGGATCTGCCCCCGCTCGTGGTGGTTCGGGGCGCAGAGTGGGCAGAAGAGGAGGCTCCCGCAGAGGCCGCGCTCCCTGCCTCGGGCCGGGCCTCACTGCTGCAACACCGGCTGGCTGAGAGCCAGGCTCGCCTGGGCCACGACGTGAGCGCCGCGGTGCGTGCTGTGTACCGGCGAGCTGGCCTCGATGTAGCCGGCCTGGCAGCCCGTCTGGCCGCCGCGCAGGCGGTGGGCTTGGCGGCTGCCCACAGCATCCGCCTGGCCCGCAGCGACCTCTGCTCCCTGGCCGAGCGCCTGGACATTGTAGCCAGCTGCCGCCTGCTGCCTGACATCCAATCTCCTGCTGAGCCAGGCCCCAGCCCCCGGGCATAGTGGAGGAGCAGCCCTCCTCACTTGTGTCCCACCCCCACTGTGGTTCCCAAGGTCTAGTGTCCCTTGCTGGCTTCTCTGGGGAGGGTTGGTAGGAGGCCGCCCAGTGCTCCTGGATCCGGTTTCAGGGGCCTCACTGAGTTGGGAATGGGAAGGGCCTGGGGGATGGGAGCTGCCTCACCAGGTTTCATAAAGTGTCTTTGGAAAGAGATGGTGCTGTGTCCTCGGGATGGAGGGATACAGTGGGAGGAGGGGCACAGGGCGCAGTCCCAATAATCGTCTCTGCGCTTGGGCGTTCTCCCCGCCTACCATGTACAACCAGTGCTGGTCACCAGGTAGCGCTGTGGCTCCTTCCAGCAAGCCAGTGTCCCTGTACCACGGGTCCTAGGCTGGCTGGCCCCGCCCCCTACCATTCCACGTGGGCCTTACACCAGTCCTTCAGTGCCAGGTGACCCTCCTGCCTCAGACCTTAGGACCTGGGTGATCTAGGGGCCTTTCATCCTCTGGATTCTGTAGCTGAGCTGCCCCTCACCAAGGCTGTCCTGCTGAACCTCCAGGTTGTCCTGTCCAGGATGGGGTCGTGGATGGAACTAGGTGGCTCAGCCTTCCAAATGCTAGGCACGGTGGCTGCAGCCTGGTGGCTTCTGCGGGTGGCCTGGTGGCTGGGCCATGCCTTGCTGGTCTATGGGCTGCCCCAGGTTGGCCTGGGCCTTGGCATTTCTCTCAGGAAGCAAGGGGCCTGGGCAGGTGTGTGGGAGAAGGAGGGAGGGGAAAGGGGCCTAAAGGGGAGGGAAGGGGCAACGTCTCTGATGATAGGGGTCCTGTAACCTGCTGCCTCAGAAGAGTCTGTGGACCATGGATGGAGGCTTTCAGGACCTGGACTGAAAATTCAGTCAAGCTGCTTTGGACCCCATATGACCCCCCTGGGCAAGTCACTTCTGCTCTGGGCTTCACATTCCTTGTTTGTAAAATAAGTGTCTGACCAGGGGGCCCCAAGGTCTGTCTGAACCTTGAATCTGATTCCATGACGTGGGTAACCCTGAGGAGGGCTGAGACTTGGGTGGCTTTTTTTTGTTTTTGTAGTTTTTTCACATTGGGGGCAGCTGGACTAAATGATTTCCAGAGTCCTGGGAGGCTTTACATCTGAGGTCCTCTGATCTCAGTATTGCATATGTCGGTGCTCACATTCAGGGGATGCTCCTAGGGCTGCAGGCCCCCTGCAAGCACATTTCCCTTGTGCAGACTCTCATTTCCAGGTTGAGCTCTACTGCACAAACAGCTTAAAGTCCTTTTCAATTCCTGGGCCACGGAAGTAGAACTCAGAAGGAGGAGGTGGAGAGTAGAGGCTCTCTCCTGTCCCTTTCTGGGATCTCCCATTGGGTGGGTCCTCCAGAGGGTTCCCCCCAGGGACTCCCAGATCTCTCTCCTCACAGTGGTAACCGGGGCCACAAACGGAATCGGCAGGAGCTATGCTCATGAGGTAAGTGGGGGGGTGGCCTGGGGCCAACTGAATCTGTCTTTAGTATACCTGGACATGGCCCCACATCTCTATTCCATTGCATTCCACATACATGGTCCCATGCATTCGGTGTTTTTCCCATACATGCTTTCTTCTATGTGCCCTGATTATTTTCTAGAGCCTCAGGACATGTGTTTGCAGGGGGATTCCTGTGTAAATACATATAAATGTGGTAATTAATGTTACATGTGAATGTATGTACATACATAGATACATACATACACAAAGATGTATAGATGATAGAAAGACAGACATTTAAGTACATCCATATTTGTCCTGAGTGTTTCTGCTCAGGGGTTCCTATGAATTCCCCACATCCTTCTTTGTCCTATGCACGCCTGCTTATTTGGATGGACCTTCTTGAGTCTTCTGTAGGTTTGGGAGGTTCTGTGTGCCCACTCACTCAGTCTCCCCATTCTCCTGTCTCCGTACAGCTGGCCCGAAGAGGCCTCAACGTTGTACTGGTGAGCCGAGATCTCAGCAAGTTACGTCGGGAGGCAGAGGACATTGGTGAGTTCCGGACTAGAAAGGAGGGCCATGGGAGAGAAGTGAGGCTGGTCAAGGTTCCACAGTGGGATTTGGAACCCAAAGACGCAGGTTGGACACAGCTCTGCTAGACACGGGCTGTGTGTGAGCCTGAGCCAGTCAGTCCCATGTGTTCTCTGGGCCTTTCCTCATCTATATAATAAGGAGCAGCATTAAGCTTCTGTTTCTGAATTCTCTGAGTTTTCCTACAGAGAGACTCCATGGTAAGGAAACAAGAGTCATCCAGGTGGACTTCAGTGGAGGCTTAGAGATCTATGAGACAGTTGAGAGAGGCTTGGAGGGCCTAGACATCGGCATTCTAGGTACACACCCATTCCTCTTCCCTTCTCAGTCCTGCCCCCAGAATTCCTCTCCATCCCCTTGCTCTGTGGTACTGACCTGATTTTTTTTTCCAGTGAACAATGTTGGAGTAGCTCCCAAGATAATCCCCCAGAAGCTAATGGATTTGAAGAATCCAGGCAAGGTAGAGGAAGCTACATTACTCCCCCCCAGCACCCCCCTTCCCCGCCCAACTCATGCCTTTTTCCATTTCTCTCCATTTTTCCATCTCTTCTTCTCCCCTTCCTAACCCTGCCCTCTTTATGTGCCCCTTCCTTCATTACCCATCTTACCTCCTATCTCACCACTCGCACCTGCCCAACCTTTCCAACAGGCAGAAAGTGCTTTCTAAATTTAAATCAGGTGAGAAATGTGAGCTCCCCTTGCTTTTGTGGCCATAAGAATAATCAATGTTGAGAAAATGTTGCCTGTAAAAGTCTGACACTTTGTTCCAGTTTCAGTCTACTTGTCTTCCTGTATTATTTACAAATGTGGTTTGATTTGTTTTAATTGGGCGTTGGGTCAAACTTGGGCGGGAGTGATTTGAGTGCTTAGAGAAATTTTCCTAGAGGAGATGGAACTTGATGGGGGAGGCCGGAAGCAGGGGTGAGAAGGGGGAACCTTGAAGGTTGAGAAAGACAATAATGTCTCAGCAAACTCCAACCTGAGAATTCATGGCCAGGTTGCTTTAGGGGGAAGTGAGAGACTCTGGGGCCCATGAAAAATGAAAGGTATCCTCTGTCTTCCCAGAGTTTCACAGACATGATGAATTGTAACATGCTGTCAATGGTTCAGGTAAGACTGAGGCAGAAGAGACAAGAAACATCATTGGCAGGGGATGGAAGGGAGTTGGGGGGAGATATGGGGAGAGATTGGGGAGTGGGCCAAAGGTGGATCATTGGGTAGATTTAGCCTTTGCTTCTTCCTCCACAGATGACCCGGATCATCCTGCCTCAGATGGTAGCCAGGTAGGGGCCCAGGCATCCCTTTCTCCCCATCTCTAGAGCCTGCCTTCCCATCCATACAGACCTCCTGGCCTATCTCACACACACCCCTCCCCCTGAGACACTCATTTACCTTTCATTTGGCCATTCTCAGTTTTCTTCTCCAACTCTGCAGGGGACGAGGAGTCATCATCAACATATCCTCTATGGCTGGCAGACAGCCTTCCCCATTCTTGGCATTATATGGGGCTACTAAGGTAAATGGGTCCCAGACCCTTTCAAGTTACTAGGAACAAGAAAGAGGTTCAGAGATGGGGATGGAATGAACAGAGTGTCCCATGTGGAGCTGAGAGCAGTGGGGTGGTGGGAGTGCCCCCTCTACCCCTGATTCCCTCAAAGTCATTGGGCAACCAGGTTTCTGAGTTTCAGTTCTAGTGTATATAAAACCAGAGAGTAGATACTAAGTCCTTCACCCCTATTGACCCACTACCCCTATGGGTTCAGTAATTTCATAATGGGAGGCCTCACAGAGTAATAAAATGAAACCAGCCAAAGTCTGAGTGCCCCCTTACCAAGTGCGGCCCCAGGAGCCTCCTTGGACATAGCAATGGAAGCTGAGGTTCACTTTTGCCTTTTGGCACTGACAAAGCTTGCCACATGAGGGAAGGACACGAGAGTTCATTAAGCAAATATTAACATCTTGCTCAGTTCTATGGTGAGCACTGGGGGTATGGGTACAAGCAAAATAAACAATCCTTGACCTAGGCTTGGGGAATGGCGGGGTCATCATTCTGAAATCCAGAAAGTCCTGAGTAAGGCCAGGCGATGAATAAAAGGGAGGCAGTCTAGGCATCTCCACCAAAAGGAGACTCCAGCTGGAACTGGCCAGTAAGATCAGGGTGATCACCCTTGCAGAAGAATATTCCATGGTTAGCAGGCAGCAAGGTTGGAAGGATGCTCTAGAGTGAGGAGGTCCCAGGTCCTGAGGAAAGTGTCTAGAGCAGATAGCAAGAAGAGAAGATTTTGAGGTCCAGAAGTTTTAGAACAGGGCTATGAGGGAAGTGAGATATTTAGGAAGTATAGGAATTAGTTGGAGGGACTGGGGGTGCTTGGCCTAGAAGTGTCTTCAAGCACATGACAGTATGTTGGGTGGAAGAAGCTTTCATTCTGCTGGGACACAGAGGATGCTTTACATTTGATTTAATAGCAATAAGGAGCCGTTAAAAGTTTTCTGAGGAGGTGACTGGTGTAGACAGATCTGTGCATAAGCAAAATGATCCTCACTAAGATTTGAAGGATAGATGGGTAGAGAGAAAGAGTGTGCCTAGGAATACTTGTGAGGAGGCTGTTTTGATGAACTAAACAGGTGGTGGTGAGAGCTCAAACCACAGTAGTGGCCCTAGAAAGAGAGGAGGGGGATCGGAAAGGTACCAGGGATATGGACTCCACAATACCTGGTCACTGACTGGATCTTAGCAGGGGAAAGAGGGAAGGAGCAGAGCTAACCTTAAGGTTCTTATCAGAGGAGAATGGTTACATGGTGGTACTGAGGTCATAAAGAAGCATGGGGTAAAGGAAAATGGTCGTATTGGTTCTGGATGTGCTCCAGGTGGAGGCAACTGGCAGGAAGCTCATGGGTGAGGCCAGCGCTATAGGTTGTACTCTGAGAGTCATCAGCTTTGAGGTAGTAGTAAAGCCATGGGAGGGAAGGGAGATTGGCTGTGTTCCATTCTCTCCTTTGGTGTTTGCCACATCAAGATCTGTTGAAGGAACTGGGTGTATCTGGGCAAGACAACAAGTAACTGCAGGTGAGGGAGATATGAGAGCTCTCTCCAAGTATTTGAAGGGCTGTCATATGGAAAAGGGATTTGACTTTTTTTGTTGAGGGTAGATCCAGGGATAATGGTAGAAGTTGCAGAGGCAAATCTAGGCTTGGGGCAGCTGGGTGGCACAGTGGATAAAGCATTAGGCCTGGAGTCAGGAAGAGCTGAGTTCATATCTGGCCTCAGACACTGGCTGTGTGACCGTGGGCGAGTCACTTAACCCTGTTTGCCTCAGTTTCCTCATCTGTAAAAAAAAGCTGGAGAAGGAAGTGGCAAACCACTCCAGTGTCTCTGCCAAGAAAACCCCAAAATGGGCTCACGAAGAGTTGGACATGACCGAAATGACCCAATAACAATAAATATAGACATGATATCAAGAAACCTTCCTAACTACCAGAGCTATAAAAAAGTAGAATGAGTTTCCTCTCAGGGTAGTAGTTTGCCCCTCACTAAAAGTGGAACTGGGTGACCAGTGGTCAGTTGCATTATAGAAGGGATTCCTCAGGTGTGGAAAATGGACTAGATGCCTTCTAGATGGCATGCCTTGTAGCTTGAGGATTCTGGGATTCTGTAACATCCACATGTTTTGTGGAAACTCTTTCTTCTCTGAGATTCTTTGTTCTGTATCCTCAAGTCCCTCCTGGTCCTCACAGTCTATAATCTATGGTCCTTTCCAGCTTTAATGTGTGTTCTAAGTCTCCTCTCATCTCTGATACTGTCTTTTCTAGGCTGCCATCCACTCTCTTACCCCCTTGATCCCACCTGGAGCTCTGATATTCCATATTCTACGGGCCCTCTCATGTTTCACGTGGTATTTTCTCAGTTCTGATGTTTTGTGTTCTAAGGACACTATCAAATCTGACATTCTCTTCTTTAAGGACTCTCCCAGCTCAGACTTACTCTGCTGTAAAGCCATCCCTAATATTCTCTGTTCTGAGTTTCCTGCCCGCTCTGATATTCTACATTCTAAGGACCCTTCTGGCTGTGTTATTCTCTGTTCCGGCCTGACATTCCAAGTTCTAAGGTCCCTCTTAGTTTTTGTAACCATGCTAAATTTAATATAAATGCACTGTTGTATTCTTTTAAGTTTGTGTCTCGGTCTTCCCTGAACCATAGTCAAGGTTTTTTAATTTTGTTTGTTTCTTTTATTGTTATTTGTTGTGTGTTCATTTTTCCAGCCTACTTCTTGACTTTAAATTTGACATTAAAGTTGGGTTCTGTTCTCCTGGGGGTAGAGAGGTGCTGTCCTGAGCTTCAGGGTTTTTATTTTTTTGCTCTGTTTCAGAGCTAGCTCTGAGAGCATCTAAATTTTCATTGCTTTCAAGGTGGTATGATCTGGGGGAGAGGTGTGGTCACTGCTTTCTTGATCTGCTTTCTGGGCTTGACCCAGGAAGGGCTCCTGCTCCCCTGAAGCCAGCACACTGGAACTGTGACCAGGTCCCCAATTCTCCTGCAGCCACAAGCACTACCCCTCTCTTTGCCTTGGAAGTATGACCAAGGTCCCTACTCCCTTGTGACTTACCACCAGCACTCCTATCTGCTCTAGAACTGCTACACAGAACTGTGAATGGGTCATAGAGTTGCCAATCACCCACTGCCACCCAAAGGTCACTTGTAATGTGTTTCTGACCAGTTGTGCCACCCCCTTACCATCTCTGTGCTGAGAGCTCTCAAAGCTGCCACTGCTGCTGCAATCAACTGCAAAAGCCACCATTGGGTGCCCCTGTCACACTCTGGGCCTTTATCCACCCTGAGGTTCCAGACCTTTCCTGTTGACCTCCTAAGTTGTCTTAAGCTGGAAAAATGTCTCACTGTGACCTTCTGTTGGCTTTGCTGCTCCAAAATTTGATTTGAGGCAATATTTTAAAGTTGTTTGGCAGGAAATGTTGGGAGAGTTCTGCTGGTCTCTGGTCTATAACTCTACTATCTTGACCACTCCCTCCTAGTTCTGGCATGCTATGCTCTAAGGCCCCTCCTGTCCCACGCATACTCTGTTGTAAAGTCCCTCCCAGCTCTGTCATTTCCTATTCTAATGTACCCCTCCTCAGTATTCCCTGTTCTAAAATCCCTCCAATCTCTATCATTTCCTCCTCCCAGCTCTAACATTCTCTATTCTGAGCCCTGAGCTGACCCCCAGAGACCTCTCACTCTACCATATCCTTTATCATGAGGCTCCAGAATTCCTTTGGCCAGAAGCCTTTCTTGTCACCCCAGGAAAGGAAACTGTGTCCAAAGGAAGAAGTGGTGGTCACAGAGTGCCAGCAGGGCTGCAGCAAGGATAGGTCTTGTCAAAATAACCTTATCTTCTGTTAGGGCAGGTGCACAAAAGTAGCACAGATGAAGGGATTCAATAGATAGCATTTACCTGGGTCTCACCCAGGTGTTTGATAATATATCTTATGATGTGGAAAAGAGAGAATTGTATCCTAGATGGCAGTTCAATTGAGGCCACGAGCGGGTGCCACAGTGCACAGCGTGGTAGTTCTGGAGCTCGGAGCCTTACTAGCTATATGACTCTTGACAAGTCACCTAGTCTCTGTTTGCCTCAGTGTCTTCACCTGTAAAATGGGGATAATAATATTACCTACCTCCAAGGGTTGTTTTGAGGATCAAATGAGAAGATAATTGTAAAGCACTTAGTGAAATGCCTGAAACAGAGTAAGCATAAGAAAAATGCTAACTACTGTAAAGTATTAAGTGCAGGAGTCTCAAACCACTTGAATGACCAGATACAAAGAGTTAATCATTTATGGTTTGATAATATCAACTTGGAAAGAGGTCTCCTGGAGTGCCAGAAGGATCTGTGCTTGGGCCTATTCTGCTAAGTGTTTTTTTTTTTAAATCATTAACTTGAATGAAGGCACAGATGAAATGTTTATTCACAGATGCATTTGACCCAAAGTTGGGTGGGAAAGTATATTGGAATGTGTATTTTTAAAGTGCCCACTATGTGTTAGGCACTGTGCTAAGTACTCTACAAAGATTATCTCAATTTGTCTTCACAACAGCCTTCGGAAGTAGGTGCTATTATGCATATTTATAGATGAGGAAACTGAGGCAGATAGAGTTGAAGTGACCTGGCCAGGGTCACACAGTTAGGAAGTGTGTGAAGCTGCATTTGAAGCCAGGTCCTTCTGCCTCCAGTGTTCTCTCCAGGTTACTGCCCACCCCCACCCCAACAAGAGTGGATGACAGAGCCAGGAAGTGAAGGGATCATGACAGGCTGGATGGCAGCTAATAAGATGAAACTATATAGGGATGAATGTAGCTTTACACTAGGTGCACAAATCCAGTTTTTTGGTTGGACAGCAGTTTATCTGAAAAACATCTGGAGGTTTCAATGGACTGCAAGCTCAGTATCTAGTATCACTGTGATCTAGCAGCCAAAAAGCTAACTAGATCTTGGGCTCCAGGAACAAGCTGGTGATCAGTCGTATCTCTCTGTACTCTGCTCTGGCAGGACCACATCAAGACTCTTGCATTCAACTGTGAGCACTACCCTTTAGAAGAAAACTGGTAGTCTGGAAAACATCGAAAGAAATGCAAGCAGGATAGTGAGGGGCTTTGAGGATATGCCATATGAGGCCTGTTCACCAAACTGGGAAAGCTTCTTCTGAGCCTCTCAGATGCATGGGCTCCCTACCCACACCTTCCCCCACCACCCAAAAAAAAAAAAACCCCACCCAAAACCAACCTGGCCTTTTGTTGATTTTGATAAGGTTTATTTGGGAATATGGGCACTAGGTGGTGCCATAGTGCACAGAAGACTTGGCCTGGAGTCAGGAAGACATCTTCCTGAGTTCGAATCTGGCCTCAGACACTAGCTGTGGGACCCTGGGCAAGTCACTACCCCATTTGCCTGTGTTTTCTCAACTGTAAAATGAGCTGGAGAAGGAATGGCAAACTGCTTCGGTATCTTTGCCAAGAGAACCCCAAAATGAGGTCATGAAGAATTAGACAAGATTAAAAAATAACTCAACAAAAATATTTGGGGATTTATTTTCTCTCTAGATTGAATAGAAGCTCCTTGAGCCTGTGTGAGCAGTAGCAAGAAGGCCAATCCCACTGGTTTCTAGTATGTGTGGCATAGATAGGAGACTACATAGTGCAGTGGGTAGAGTGCTGTACCCAGAGTCAGAGAAACCTGGGCAAGAACGTGGGCAAGAAATAGGCTGTGAAATTGTTTCAGTTGTGGCCAATTCTTTGTGACCTCATTTGGAGGGGTCCTTCAGGCAGGGAAGGCTTCCTAGAAGAGTCAAGGTGGGAAGGGGCTAGCCAATCTGGTCCAGAAACCTGGTGGAAAAGCTGAGAGAGGTCAAAGAGCCCTGGGGGCCAGGGTGGTCAGGAAAGACTTCCTAGAAAGGAGAAATCTGACCCAGACTTTGAATGACACGGGAAATTGTCAAGGTCAGTTGAAAAATACCTCTATTGTTTCAGGAACCATAGGGCAGCTAGGTGGCACACTACAGTGCCTGGAGTCAGGAAGACTCATCTTCCTAAGGTCAAATCTGGCCTCAAACACTTACTAGCTATGTGACCCTGGGTAAGTCACTTAACCCTATTGGCCTCAGTTTCCTTATGTGTAAAGTGAATTGGAGAAGGAAATGGCAAATCACTCCAGTATCTTTGCCATTTTGCAGCCAAGTTTTGTCAATCAGTCATTTTAGTTGTGTCCCACACTTTGTGACCAAGAGGGTGAAGAAGAGTTGGATGTGACTGAAATGCCTGAATGACAAAGTTTGGGAATTGTCCCTGAAGAGAGGCCCAAGTCTTAGGCTGTGCCATAGTTTACCTGGAACATTGATGAGCTGGAGAAAGTGCTCATGGGAACCAGTAGGACCTTGAGTGTGGTCTCATACAAACTCCCCTTTTTGGTGTTTTTAACCTTCATAGCCAGACTTGCAACTCCCTTCCCAGCATTGTTACTCATGAGCACAGTAGGATCAGAAATGGAGAGCTAGAAGAGCCCTCAGAGGCTGTCCCTCATTTTACATGTGAGGAAACTGAGACCCAGAGAAAAGAAGTAACTCACCCATGATCATCCAGCTAGTAGCAAGTAGTATGAGTGGGATTTAATCATTGCTCTAAACCTGGGAGGGGCCTCAGAGATCATTTAGTCCAACTGTCCTCACTTTACAGACGAGAAAACAGGCCTGGGGAGCTTAAGTGACTTCCCCATGGTCACGCAAGTGGTAAGTGTCAGAAATAGGATTTGAAGCCAGCCTGAATCCAGCCCTCTTCCTGCTATACTATATAGTCTCCTATCTGTACTATGCATGCTAGAGCCCAGCAGAATTGACTTTCCTGCTGCTGCCCACATTAGGACACTGTATTCCCCCACCCCTGCTTCTATTTCTGTCCTGTTCTCCCTACTCACCTCCAGCTTTTAGAATCTCCAGCTTCCTCCAAAGCTCAGCTCAATTGCCACTGTCTACATGAGGACTTCCTGATCATTCACACTGGCCCAGGTGCTTCACCTATCAATTACCTGGCACAGTCACTGGTATTTGTATAAGACTTGAAGCTTTGCAGTTTACTTTACAAATATCCCATTCGATCCTCACAAAAACTTTGGGAGGTGGGTGCTGTTTTTATGCCCATTTATAGATGTGGAATTTGAGGCCAACAGAGACAGAGGTTAAGTGAGTTGCCCAGGGTCACAAGCCAGTACATGTATTTGCACTCCGATTTTCTTGAAGCCAGATCCAGCATTCTGTCATTCGGCTGTTAGCTGCATATGTTTGATATGTATACATATGGACACATGTTTCTCAGGATAGGATGGAAGCCTCTGGAGGGCAGGGATTGTTTTGGTTGTTTTTGTTTTGTTTGGCTTTCTGTTTTTATCTTATGTTTAGTGCCTAGAAGAACCCCTGCAGAGAGTGGGCTATTAAATACTTCTTAGCTGTTTGATTGGTCTATAGAACCAGGCATATTTAGCCCGGAGAAGAAAAGGCTTCATGCAGGACTTGGGAACTCTCCTCCAGGACTTGGAAGAATGTCATGGAGTCAAGAACCAGTCTTGTTCTCTTGAACCCAGAGGGCAGAACCAGGAGCAATGATCAGGGCAGAACAAGGGTCCTGTCAATGAGAGCTGCCCCAGAGTGGAGGCTGCCTGGGGAGGTAGTGAGCATCCCATCTTGGGAGGTCTTCCAGAGAATCTGGAGTACTACTTCTCATTGAGGGTGTAGTGAAGATTCCTCTTCAGGGGTGGGTTCCACTGACTGTACTCTGGGTCCCTTCTGATGCTAAAATTCTGTGATTCACCCTCTCTCACTGCTAGGCCTTTATGAATAGCTTCTCTCGGGCTGTGGCCTTGGAATACCGGTCCTCTGGAGTTATCATACAGGTTTGGGTGTGGGTGTGAGTGTGAATGTGCTTGTGTGATTGTTAGGTCCTGAAGAGATGGATGGGAAAGTCTGTGAGGAGCTCAGAGATGGGGGAGAGCTTGGGAAGAGGGCAAGGGGGCCAAGGTAAGTGGGATTGGTGAGAGGCAGCAAGTTTAGTGAGGTAACAGGTGGGTGGGGGCAAAGATGGGTGAGCAGCTAAGGGGAGGAAGCCTTTGGGAGGTGGGTAGAGTGAGAGCTATGACCCTTCCATCTAGTCATCAACTTCTTTCTCCAGACTCTTACTCCTCTGGCAGTTTCCAGCAACATCCAGATGCCACCCACAAAATTCTTGGTGAAGTCTTCAGATGACTTTGCCAGAGAAGCCTTGGACACCGTAGGCGTCTCTAACTTCACCTGGGGGTGTTTCCTACACTCTGTCCACGTAAGTGACTGGGGTGCCCATTGGGTTGAACTAATAGGGAAGGTGTCCAGACAACTCCTGGCAATGGTTGGCTAAGGAGGGAAGGAAGGATACTCTTACATGTCAGGAACTCTGCTAACCCCTTTACAAAGATCTCATATGGTCCTCACAATAACCCTGGCAAGATAGGTGCTGTTATTATCCTCATTTTCCATTGAGGAAACTGAGTCAGACAGCTGTTCAGTGACTCTGGGTCACGCAGTGGTAAGTTTCTCAGGCTGGATTTGAACTCAGGTATTCCAGACTCCAGGTCCAGTGCTCTAGCCATTTCACCTATCTGTACACACCTGGGTAGAAGGTTGAATCGTTGGATGTGTGTGTGTGTATTGGGTGAGGGGATAATCGGTTTTTTTGAGCAAAACCCATGGGGTTCACAAAAGAATGGGAGGCATGAATGAAGTCAGATGTCTGCCCCAGTTATAGTGTCATGGAAAGAACATTGGATTTGGATTCAAAGACCTGGGCTGAAATCCTAGCCTTGCCATGTACTACCTCATCAGTCACCTTGCCCAGGGTTTGTCTGGTACACAGGAAAGAATACTGGATTAGGAAATTCCAGTCCTGGCTGTGAGGTCTTGAGCAAGCCACTGAATATCTCTGAGACTCAGTTTCCTCTCCTGTACAATGAGGTGAGTGGCTCAGGGTCCTTCCTTCCATCTCTAAATCTGTGATTCTAAGACCCAAATCTCCAGAATTCAATATTTTTCCACATGTGAACTGAGAGTGGCTGTAATCAGGTGATCTCCATGGTCCATCACAGCTCTGAGTCCTCCTTTTGGAGAGGATGAGCTCCTGGGCCTGTGACTTCATAGGAGGTACGGAATTCCTGGTGAGGACCTTCCCTCTCCCAATACAGCTTGTCTGCAGTCTAGAGTTGTTGAGTTGCCTGGGGCACTGAGAGGGTGCCACAGCCTGTCTGTCAATGCTGGCCCATTGGCCCCTCAGCTTCTCAGCCACATGGCTTGTGGAGGGCTCAGATGTTCTGAGAAAGTCATCAGAGCAACCCCCCTCCTCCCTGGGTCTGATACTGAGTCTTGAGGCCTTGAAGGAATGCCACCCACCAGATTGGAACCCATTCCCAGGTGCCAGTTGTCATAATATTAGACAGGACAATGGGAACTCACTTATCCAAAGCCCGTCTGACCAATGCCTAAGACCTTGGCTTTTGTTGGGGGGGGGTCCTTCAGTTATAGGGCTCATGACTCTCTAGAACTTGGTTGTCAGGAACCAGCCAGTTCTATAAAATTCAATGATGCAGATGTAGTGACCTAGAACCCATGTGGTAACTTTTACGTTTAGGGCTCTTATCAACAGCCTAGAGTGCAGGTATGTGGAACTTGGTGGCTACAAATCAGCTCACAAGAACTCTGTCTTTCCGAATTGCGGTCAGTGGGCCTTAGTTATTTGATATGTTGTTCTCTAGAAGTCATTGGTCCAGAACACAATGAAGAATATGACAAGACCCCCCAAAAGAAACACCCTAGCTCCAAAATGTGTGCATGTGCATGCAAGCATCTTCATCTTCTTCAAGGAGAACCCACTGGGTATTTATTCTAAACCTATTGGCTCTTATTCAACACAAAATTCTTACAACCTTGGTGCTCTGGTTCTCTAAGTCCAAGAAGATTAGAATTCAGATTGGAGATGCATGGACCACGTCCCCGCGCACCCACCCGCCAGAAGGGGATGAACTCAGGGTGCAGATCAAGACCTAAGGTTTAGGACATGGCCAGTGTGGGATTTTGCTGTGCTTGATTAGGCATACTTATTGCAAGGGCTTTTTTTCCTTCCTTTTTAAACAGGAAAAGTGGGAAGGAGAGGAAATAGATTTCATTTAATTTTTTAAAAAGGATTAGAGGGTACATGGAGTTAACTAGAGAAGGGCAGGTGACTGATGGAATTAAGTGATTGGAGCAAAAGACAGAAATACAAAAGGCAATAATAAGGTTGGCTCCTGAATGCTGACTTCTTAGAGATTAGGACATTAGATAAATGGACTCTGGATAGGTGAGTTCCCACGGTTCCATCTAATATTAGGGTGATGAACTGACTGCCAAGGAATTTATCACTTGGTCTAGATTTGCCCAAGGATGCAGAGAGATGGGTGAGCTTATTTTTTTTAAAAAGGAAATTGGTTAAGTGACTTGCTCAGGGTGACACAACTAGTAAGATCTGGAGTCACATTTGAACTCAGGTCCTCCTGACTCCAGTGTTGATGTTCTCTTCACTGTGCCACCTAGCTGCCCCAGTGAGCCAGTTTAGAAAAGTTTACCAAAGGTTGTTTTTATTTTTAAAGGAAACATAATTTTTCATCATATACTATAGTGCTGGCAAGTTATCTGCTTGACCACTTTGCATCCAGTTGCTTCATTTTACAGAATATGACAGTGAAACCCAGAAAGGGTATACGATGGAAAAGATATAGTGAAGCAGGAGTGTGTCTGAAAACAGCTGAGGGTGTTAGTAGACCACAAGCTTAGCATGAGTCAGCCATGTAATGGGGTGCCCCAAAAAGCTGATCTTGAACCATGTAAAGTGGGTCAGTAGCTTCCAAGAATAAGGAGGTGGTAGTCCCACGTACTTCATGAGGAGACCTTTGTTCAGTTCTGGGCATCATGGTTTAAGAAGGACATTAATGGCTGTAAAATTTCCAGTGGTGGGAAACCAGGACAGAGGAGGGCTTGGTATCCAGAGTATACCATCAGCTGAGGGCATTGGTGGTACACAATCTGGAGAAGAGAGAAGGAGATCATGATGGCTGTTTTCTAGTACTTGCGTGCAGGAAGGGAATTAGCTATGTTCTTTGGCCTCATAGGGCAGACCTGGGAGCAGAGGGGCTGGCAGTGGGGTGGGGCAAGGGGAAGAAGGGACTGAAAAGTGGCCAGTTTTGGCTTGAGATCAAGACAAACTTCCTGAGGATAAGAGCTGTTGCAAAGGTCACCGGGTTGCCTTGAGAGACGAGTTCCCCTTCCTTAGAGGTCTTGAGGCTGAGGCTGGAGTAGCATGTGCTGGGTGTCTTCTAGTGAATATTCTGTTCCTGTGTGGGATGGATTCAATGGCCTCCTGGGTAGACTAGAACCCCGGGCCATCTGACTCTTTCCCCTTCACAGAACTGTGCACCCCAGTCCCAGGGTTTCGAGCACAGAGGCTGAATTCTATTTATCCAGTACCTGCTGTGTGCAAAGCCTTGAAGTGAACAGACTGTACTCTACAGTGTCAGATAATACCAAAGTTAGAAACAGTAGGGACATAATTTATACAATGTTAAATGAGGTTGATACTGTATATGCCAGAGGCTGCCTCCCAGACAGTTATCTGTTAGCAATATGAAGATTAGAACACAAGGTAACCTCTCTTAATTCATACAGCATAAATACATGGGGGCCGCTAAGGTGGCGCTGGTGGGGTAGATCTCTGGGACTAGAGTCAGAAAGACTCATCTTCCTGAGTTCAAATTCAGCCTCAGACTCTTATAGGTGTGTGATTCTGGGCAAGTCACTAACCCTGTTTGCCTCAGTTTCCTCATCTGGAAAGGAAATGGCAAACCCCAAATGGGGTTACGATTGGACACAATTGAAACAAATGAATAGATGAGGAAGGGGATGAAGCATTTCTATAACATCTACTATGTGCTAAGCCCTTTCAAATATCTCATTTGATTCTCATGCCAACCCTGGGAGGTAGCTGTTATTATCCCCATTTTACAGTTGAAACTCTGGCAGGTTTGAGGTTAAGTGACTTGCCCAGGGTAGCATAGTTAGTAAGTGTTTGAGACCAGATTTGAATTTAGGTCTTCCTTCCTTCCTTCCTTCCTTCCTTCCTTCCTTCCTTCCTTCCTTCCTTCCTTCCTTCCTTTCCTTCCTTCCTTCTTTCTTTGGCAGTTGGGATTAAGCAACTTGCCCAGGGTCACTCAGCAAGTGTCAAGTGTTTGGTCTGAGGCCAATTTGAACTCAGGTCCTTTTGATTTCAGACTGTGCCACTAGCCCCAGATTGAAGTCTTTCTAACTCCAAGCCCAGCACTCTACCCACTGCATTACCAGCTGCCTCATCCTCAGCATTCTCTGCCCTAAGGCTTGCCTCTGATTGATTGGCTCCTTCTAGAACTTCCATTTTAAGGGGAAGGCCAGGCAGCAGTTATTTTCAGCCCTGTCCAGGCTGCACTGCACTCATCTGCATAGAACTTCCCCTACCTTTTCTCTTCCCTTTTTAGCTTCTTTTTAGCACTCCATTAGAAGCAAAGCTTCTTGAGCAGGGACTGTCTTTGTTTCTGCTTGTATTTGTGTTTCCAGCACTTAGCACAATACCTGGCACATAGTAAGATCTTAATAAATGCTTACTGGCTGACTGGCAGTATAATATATAGCACTCATGTGGAAAATCTTGGACTATAAGAGGTGGAAGGAACACCTGAGAATAGAGAATATCAGAAGTATAAGGGACCTTAGAACAGAGAATGCAAGAGCTGGGAGGGACTTTGAATATGGAATGTCAGAGCTGGGACGGCCCTTAGAACAGGGAATGTGAGAGTTGAGAGGGCCTTAGAGATCATGTAGTCTAGAGATATCAGAACTCCTGGACAGAAAAACACCAAAATGCTCCCCAGACCACCTTAAAATGTAATTGGGAAATACTTATGAAGGTAAATACAACTGTGCTCCACGGCTAATGTTCCTAAGTCAGCAGTCATCTGCTGGGCTCTGTTTCTCCTGGAGGTGTCTGAGGAGGCCTTGAGGGGGCAGTGCCCCAGGCCCCAGTGCTCTGGGCCTGGGAGCCAGGCTGAGGCCAGGCTGCCTCCTGACCACTGTGCTCCCTCCTTTCCTCAGGGTTTGTTGCTGTGGCCCCTGAACTCCAACTTCAAATTCATCATCCCGACTCTGATGTTCTTCTACTCTCTGTTCAATGCATCCAGAAATCCTGAAGAAGTTGTGAAGGAAGGGGGGGCTCAATTGGAGGCCCTTTGTCGGGGGAGGGGTGATGACTGCTGCTGGTGGTGGGAAGAGAGGGGGCAAACAGAGGGTTTCCTCTGCTTGGCTCATCCTCTGTCCTGCTTTCTAGGGTCCCTTTGAGGAGAAACCCTAGCCCTGAGAAGCTGTAGCTGTAACTTGTTATAATAAATTGTTTTCCCTTTAGCCAGCTATCTGTCTTATCAATAGCTGCATGTCCAGCACACTCACTGCCATCCTGGTGCACCGCAGCCCACAGTCGCGCTGGGAGTCCCGGGACTGAACCCCACCTCCACCCCTCAACACTCGCAGGTCTGCTGAGTGGGGCCCAGGAGAGGCAGCCTGACCTCTGTTGCCTATGGACAGCCCTCCAGATACTGAAGGCATCCCAGAGAGCAGAAAGGGCAGGGGTGATGGGGAGATGCAGGAGGATGCCTCCTCTCCTCCTCCTCCTCCTCCTCCTCCTCCCTCCCTCCCTCCCTCCCTGCCAGCTCCCCACTCTTAGAAGTTGTCACAGACTCCAGGCTAGGGTGGAGGGAGTTCATACACTGTGAAATTTACAGGCCCCAGGAATTCTGGTTCCCGTCTGGAGCTCAATCCCTTTTTTGCTCTGTAACCCTGGCCAAGTGACTTCTGTTCCTAGTCTCATTTTCCCTTCTGTAAAATTAGGTGGGAGGGATGGATTTGATGAATTTCCCAAATTCCTTGCCAGCCCCTGGGACCAGTCCTCTTATAGTCTTTCTTAAGTCTGACATTCCAGGTCTTGGGTTCAAGCTGGGCCATTGCCCTCCACATGTGCCACTTTCATTTTTCCAATGGCATGGAAGCCAAGGCTCAGAGAGGGAATGCATTTGACTAAAGTCACTCAGCAAACCCACCCAGGGAGGGCAGAGCAGGAAAGGTCTCAAGGCTCTCTGCCTTAGAACAAGCAGAGCCCTTCGCCTGCCACCCCCCCCATGCATGTCACAGCCCTCTCCCCTGTACCCCTCCCCCTGCACTTCCCCACCACCACAGCTCCCTCCCCTCACCCCCTCTGAACACCTCTAGCTGGAAGCTGGGAGGGGTGGCTCCTAGAGGGCAGAATTCGGCCCTCCCTCTTGGCTGCTTTAGCTATCTCCCTTCCCCTCCCCTTGAGGAAGAAAAACAAGGAAAGAAATCAAATTTCTGTCTCCTTCCCAGGGCCTCTGGGACCCAGCAGGGAGTCACCAAATCCCGGAGTGTCAGGGCAGGAAGGGATCGCAAAGGTCGCCTTGGCCAAATCCTCTAGACAGATGGGGAAACGGAGACCAAGGGAAGGAGTCGGACCTAGGCCAGGGTCTTATAGTGAGGCAGAGTAGGGGGCAGGGCCCAAGTTCCCACTCCTAGCTCCGGGGCCAAGGGAGCTTGCCCACTTACCCAAGGCCAGAGACTGGGAAGAAGAGATTGGAGAAGGCCCTGCCTTCCCTCCATTGTCTGTAGGACTCCCTGAAACTCCCAGGATGGCGAGGATTGGCCCTGAAAGCCTTCTTGGAAGCAGCCAGTGTGGCAGCTCAGGTGTGGCAGGGTGTGTGAGGAGTTCAGCTGAGACCAGATGCCCCTTTTCACAAGCACCGAGTTCAAATCCTGCTTCTAACACTGATTAACTTTGTGACCTTGGACAACTCCTAGGGGACTGGTTTTCTTTATCAGTAAAAGGGCGTTGGCCATCTGGCCTCTGAGATCCCTTTCAGCTCTAAATCTTATCCTATAAACTCCTAGATATCTGAAACCTTTGAGGGAAGGAGAGGAGTAAGAGGGGAACCACTTCATTTCCTCTTCCCTAGACTGTTCCCTTCTCCTGGTATAGGATGTAAATGAGGTTCCTTCAGAAAGGAGAGTCCTATGGGGGGACCTAAAGCAGCCAGTGGTAAGGCATAGGGCCATGTTTCCTGCTCAGACTGGGAGTCCTTGGAAGGGAAGGCCAAGCCTTCTTCCTTTTGCAGGGAGATTCCTGCTAGCGGAACCTAGCTGCCTTGGGGTTCACACCCTAACTTCTGGCCCAGCTCGACGTGGGAGAGAGGCTTGGTGCCCCGACCTTGCCTCAGGGCCTGCTTGGTGCCTCCCCACTTGCCATCACCCCCACCTTCCAAACAGAACTCAGCCTCAGTTGCTCGTTAAATAGAAACATATTTATTTTATCATCATACATTCCTTATTACATGAGCAGCCAGCGCAAGAAGACATTTAGAGGGAAGAGAGATGGAGCTGGGCAGAGCAAGGCACAGCCTCCATTACTTCTATGGGACCTACCCTAACTCCGGAGCAGCCCTGGCTCCCAGCTCTGCCACTGGCTTGCTGTGTGACCTAGGGAGAAGTCCCTTTCCTCACTCTTGAGCCTCAGTTCTCCTGTCTCTAACATGAGGAATAAAACTCCATGATCTGATGTATCTTC